GCCACATCATACCTGTTATATAAACATGTGTTATTGTACGGAACACGGTGGCCACATCATACCTGTTATATAAACATGTGTTATTCTGCTGATCAGCACCTGTCACAATCAATCACAAACACACCGTCAACTACAGATCATTAAGACGACAAAAGCTGTATTTAATGAATTAAGCAATGTTTTCTGAAGTTAGACATATCCTTATCCACTTGGAATCATATGGTTAATAGGTATATTGAACTGAAAGTTCGTGAAACTGGAAAACAAAATATTCACAGTTTTGTAATCAGGTATCTCCAACTCCAAGGAGTGAGTCCAACCAGCCATCTATGTTGATGTTTAGGGATGATGCTCCTTTGCTAGTGATAAGAGGCAGCGCTGTTCAAGAGGAAAAAGAAATTCCCTGAAAGATGATTTTCGATGAGGAAGACATTCAACTGCCGTTTTCAAGGAAAATGATGAAACATCATTTAGTACTGGATCTTAAAAGGTGACTCGTTGGTCTCATTACATCAAATGTAATTGATTGCACTCCCACCACATTTGCAACATTATGACAAGGTCTATTACTGATCATCTCAAAAATTTCAACATGCCCGAAAAATGAAAAAATAACCCCAAATAATTCTGGGTTCTATTCGGGTATTGTATTTATTGAACAATTCTGTAATTATTAAAGTGTATTGAAAGTGGTCAGGCGCAGCCATTTCTTTCTAATGAGGATGTTGTATGGTGAACAGTGGTAGGATCACCTTGTTATGCTTTGGTTATAACGTGGCATCAGAGTGAGTGAGTGAGTTTAGTTTTACGCCGCATTTAGCAATATTCCAGCTATATGGCGGTGGTCTGTAAATAATCAAGTCTGGGCCAGACAATCCAGTGATCAACAACATGCGCAATTGGGAACCGATGACATGTGTCAACCAAGTCAGCGAGCCTGACCACCCGATCCCGTTAGTCGCTTCTTACGACAAGCAAAGTCGCCTTTTGTGGCAAGCATGGGTAGATGAAGACCTATTCTACCCCGGATCTTCACGGGTCACGTGGCATCAGAAGGAGCAAGGTACATGTAAGGTCTTTGGGATAGTGATGTCGCATGTCACTGGTACAACAGTGCAGCTTTGCACGATACATACATAACATACATAATTTGGCATCAACTAACATTTAAGCCGATATCAGTTGTCCATGATGATATCAATACGCAGGCACAAAATATTGTTTGCCCCTCATAACTGTTTGTCTTTGGGATAGGAGGCTATCCTAGGTTTCCTTCATAGGTTTAAATATAACTGAATTATATTCTTTTCTTGGTGTTTGTTTGAAACATGTCCCGGTTCAAGATATGTAGCATTATACAAGCCAATAAGCTGCCGTGTTGTTGAGAGACGATAAAAGATACTGTTTGCTGTGAGTATATGGTGATGTTTCTAAACTGCTCTTGCATGTTTGTTGACTTTTACAAATGATTATATTTTGTCCAAACAGGAATTTAGTCATTGACTACAATCAACACACCATCAAATAAGTAAGAACGAAACACGCTTATTCACTTGTGCATTCCAGTGTCCAGAGTTTAGAATGAAGATCCATAACCAGGTAGATAGAACTGAAGGTTGAAATGGAGGCTGTTATATGATTATTGTTGTCATATTCCCCTCTCAGACAGAAGCAATCAGACTATCAGACATGACAATATGATGGCCACCGCTTCTCGCCTCATCGCCCTATTCTGCCAACGAGAAAGGGAAGGTAGTTACACCTCTACACAAGATAACGAGCCTTTTATGTTATTACGTGCTTGTGAATACAACGGGCATCATTAGTCTGGGGGTAAAACTGTCCACACATGTCCAGAATGTGTCCAACAAACTCCCATCTACTCCGTATACAGACACCAGTCTACAGAAGATGGGTGTTGTGTGTTAAGGAAGCAAGTGACTGAATCTGCTGAAATGTGGAGTGATCAAACTGTTTATAGTTTCAATGAAACATAACGTGTCTAGACGATAGGGTGTTTCCGATATTTCTGATGAGAATTATATCACAGACATAATAATCCTGTAGGTGTTGGCCTGTCTGCAAGCAAGGCTGTTTTATACAGAGAAATTCATCAGATCATCTGCAGACTGTTCTTACCATAACGTAATAGCATAATAGGTACCTAGTCTAGGTAATGCCTCTCTCTGCACATACTGATCTTAAATAGAACAACAGATTCTGGCTTCCATCGAGACAAGCACGCAGAAGAAACTCTTGGATCAAATGGACTGGAGATAACATACATGCTATATCTTGTCACAACAGTGCTGAAGCGACATTGTTGACAGGGAGATCCAGAAATTTATCCTACAATAATCTGAAATACCTTTATATGAACTGATGGTTGGAAGATACGAGAGAGACTTCACTGGGTGTCCGCCCGGGAAGTCGACAAATGAAATTTCAGTTATCTCGGGAAGTCGACAAACTGAGTCCCGGTTTGTAGACTGGTGTTGTACTGCTTTTGTCGACTTCCCGGGTAGTGTTTAGATAATTAAGTAGTGATGTTTTGACAGTAATTGCCTGTGAACTTACAGTTCTACAGGTGCTGTACTGCGTTTGTTGACTTTGGTTTTGTCGGGTAGTGTTTATATATTAAGTAGTGATGTTTTGAGAGTAAATGATATACTCCAATGAGTATATCATTAGTGTTTAGATATCAATCTTTTTACATTTTAAGAACAAAAGAACAAAGTCAATGATAATCCTTTGCTCAAATCTCATGACTTTGGATTGTTTTAGTAAATCGGTTATTCAGTTAAAGCAATTAGTGTCGTTGGTGAATATAAGTCATTTGCAGAATGAAGTCATCACCAAGTGCGAAATCGGCTACGCTTATAGTGCTTGTTAAATATCCAAAGAACGAACGACCTTACTGGCCATCGACCTACAGGACCAGTGGACCAGGACAGAGGCAGGGGAAAGATTCTTACATCGACTGGAGGGACAGTCTCCTAACTTCATATTCACCACTGAGAAGAATCTAGAACTGCTAAGTGAACTGCTGACGTCCTATTTGCTGACGGGACTTTCTCAACATGCCCTAGGCTCTTCGACCAGATATATTCCATCCATGCTGAATTCCAAGGACATATGTTGCCACTCGTGTATGGACTCATGTCAGACAGAACCGAGGACTCATACACACGGATGTTTACCTATCTGAAGCAGACCTCGGCGAACCTAGGACATCAGCTGGTACCAACAACTTTCCAGATGGACTTTGAGCGTGCGTCCCACAATGCTGTTGCTGCTGTCTTCCCTGGAACCCAGAGACATGGTTGTTTTTTCCACTACACGCAGTGTATATGGCGTCGTGTCCAAAAGATCGGACTAGCAACTGAATACAAACACGATGAGGATGTAACCAAGCTTGTGAGACGAGCGGCTGCACTTCCCCTCGTGCCCGAGGACAAAGTTGAAACTAGCCAAGCGCAACATTAGTCCGCGATGCCCGCAGAGTCGACACTAATTTTGAGTGGTAAATCTTCATTTGTCGACTTCCCGGGCTTGAACCCTTCACTGTAGGGATGACGGGAACCACTATCACCGTACACTTGACGGACGGAGACATTGCAGCACACTTTACGGGAGGAGATACCACTGGGTTATACACGGATGTTCGTGGTAAATGTCTCCACACATGGGGACAGGGTGACCTTTTCTTACATTCGGTGCAGCTGTACTATCTTTCAGATCATCAGCTTATCGTGAAGATAACAAAACAAAGAGAAGTGCGTTTCAATTTGAACTGTGAGATTGTGCTTGGCTTCTAAGACGCGTCATGCTTTGTAGACAGGTACATCTGAAGCAGTGCTGAAAGATATCTGAATCAAATCCTGCAAATGGAAATATTTTGTAAATTCTTGTTCTGAGGGTCACTGTATCTGAGGGTCAAATGTGCTTGTTGTGATAATCCTGGTGGAGTGAAAACATAGCGTAACTTATAAGAGTTTATCCCATATTAAAAGTTATGCAGATACAGATGTAATTAAAAAGAATGTTAACGAAGTTGTCCCAGTTTACCGAAATATTCACGGCACTGAAATGTTAGGCTGATCTTCAACTAGGACGATTGCAGGTTGTTTGAATGCCATCCTGTATATCTGTTGTTAACGATTCCCGTTTAGTAAAACCAGTATTCGTGGTAGATAGTGTTTGTGATAAAACGACCCTGCACAATTTGTTTGTAGCAAATCACGTTCAGATTACAAACAGAACAGGTACAACCGCTCCGATTACCATATAGATTAGGCTGTTTAATGGGCGTTCAAAACAGCCTTATGGTTACATCCCTGAACACGAATGTAACATTAGAAGCGCGTATAGTTGAGACTGATGTAGTGACATTAGCGAGATGGGTTCATCAGTTTGAACTTGTCAAGAGAGCACCGAGAGCCTTGGGGCATTTAGTCCCTATAAAAAAACGTGACATTCTTTTACAAGTTCCTGGTAAAAAGTGTTTACATAGGGATGTAACCCCTACTGGGAGTATGGCAAAATAAGCACTAAGACTTTCGATGTCACGATACTGTGACTTCTTGTGTTCTTTATCGACACTTCACTACTGATGGGTGGCTGTTGAGCAATTGTATAACTGTGTATTGATCTTCATCTTAATTATAGCACATTGACTACAGCCCTAAACACGCTTAACTGCTCTACGTTTTATACAATATCTGGTGTGAATTGATACCATAAACTCATTTTTATTAATTGTTCATCAATAAAGTGCATTCAGGTGATTTTTCAAGCTTTAATTTGATTCCTTAATTAACAAGAAACAAAAAAGAATAATTTAAAACACAGATGATCCTTTTGGAACATTCTAATAGTGGAACATTTACCAGATCATGAAATAAGGGATGAGTCTGAGGACAGAATTAGAGGGCAAATGTATATGACTTTAAATGACAGTTTCCTGCATTTGTTTGCAGAATACCAGAAGGGCCATTTACACTCTTTTTATGTACTGGCTGACAGAGTTCAGTTTTACGCCGCTTTTAGCAATATTCCAACAATATCACGGCGGGGAAACACATTGCTTCACACATTGTACCAATATGGGGAATCGAACCGGGTCTTCAGCGAGACGAGCCAACGCTTTAACCACTAGGCTACCCCGCCGCCCCTCTTTTTATGTAAATTCAAATCATTAATCAATAAATATGGCAAAGAGGTTGACTTTTTAAGAATACATCATACCACGCTGAAAGTGAAAGACACATCAGTTTCCTTTGTTTTAGCCATTTCAGCTTTAATTCCATGTAAACATTATTTCCCCCTTTTCTGTGAGAACATATAATGTCACGCTAACTCTACATTGATTGCTCAGTGATTTTGGCTTGTCCGAGAGACCAGGTCTAATTGACTTCTTGTTACCTAACAAAGTACATTTTACAGCAATGATCAACAAGGTGTGAAGCACCGATGAACAACGAATGAGTGAGTGAGTGAGTTTAGAAAGAGTGGCGGCGGGGAAATCAGACCAGACAATCCGTCAACAAGAGGAGCAATTACGATGACGTCAACCAAGTCACCTGACCACCCGATTTGTACGACCGTTCTTGAAGTAAGGCACAGACGAATGGGTTCTGAGGAAGAAAGGACATGTTATCATTGAACCGACCCCGTATTGCAAACGATATGTGACATACAGGGAACATATACCTGGCAGACATTTGAGTATTTAAACAAATATGTTGGCATTATCGTTATTACATTCAGATGCAAAGTTTTACCTTCTTGATAGGTTTACTCATGTTTACGTATGTGTTCTGTTTGCAATACATCTATTGAAGATCAATATCATTCCTTAATGATCTGTTTACATTACATTGACGTAAAATGCATTTGCCACATCAATTACTTTACTTTTTATTACTCGTATTGCATTTCGTGTATATAGGTCAAATATCATGAGAATAATACAGTTTATACGGTGGTCTGTATATCCAGAACTGCATTTGTCCAACCTAAACTGCAGAGTTGACTTTCCTTCTTCAGTCTAATGACCCCAATGTTACTGCATCCAGCATGGATACTCGATCATTGGCGTGGGTTGGCAGCAGATTGCCCAAACACCGGACCGTCCAGCTTCATCAGGCTACCAGCTCTCTCTGCTTTGATGGCGTAAATACTGTGTCAGTCTGGAATATCACGACTTCGCATTCTATACGTTGTCTGGGTCCCACTATTGGGGATTACCAACCCATTCAGTTCTCGACTTACTCTTACGTCTGTTGTGCAAAAATACAGTAAACCTTGGCTGTATTAGCATTGTGTGGCACGTTACAGCTGCTTTAGAAGAATGCTACCCTATGGAGAACTCTCTTCTCTTCTCGCGAGTTTATTTCCCGCTCTCCTCTTCATCTTCATTGATTGGAGGCTGGAGTAGAAGATACCCAGATTACTATTATCAAACTCCAAAGATGGTGTTGAGTCCGCTGCGGCGATTGTAGCCTACTATAAAGCTGGGAGGTTGTTCTGGGTCTGTTTCAGCATCATGATGCATCTTGAGGGAAAAGAACGAAGGATCCAGCTGAATCTATAGTTGGAATCGTGTCATGGTCCAGGGCGATTAATCGACTTTCGTGGGAATATAGTGGAAACATAAGACAAATAGCCCTGAGATCAACTTGATATCACGCTTACAATGCACTTAGACAAAGCAGACTCACTGAGCAAAATATCGGCATTAAACAACAACCAATCGGTGAATCAGTTCAATTGAGATAGGGGAAGGGGGTTCACATTCAGGACACACCTTCAAATGCCACCTACAAAGGCCTATTTATAATTTCTCTACAACCAGGAACCTTTGCTGGGTTCCTTTTGGAACTTTTGAATCTTATGCAAAAGAGAAATGGACAGGTCAAAGATAAGGTACTACAAGCTTGCAAAGATATAAAGATATAAATATGCATTGAAAAATGAAACATTTGCAGTGGTAATAGCCTGATACATTCTGCTTGGCAACGTGTCCATGACGTAACCTGCTAGCTATCGAGTATCCATCAGTATCCATCACTTCCAGTTGGCTAGCTTCCCCATCATCACCTCTGATGATTGGCCGACACACTTAGTCTCTGACATCGAGATGTTATGTATTCCCCACTGATCTGGTTTCACTATCACATTATTTTATGGGTGATGGAAAGCTGAAGAGATTTAAATGAAAGACAGTCGACGGAAATATGACCAGTGCGTTGGGCATGTAAATTACATAGTTCTCCATGACCCAGTCTATAAATGTGGACTTGTGAATGGAATCCAGTTTGAATAGATCAGCTGAATTCAGAAGCAAGGGAAAAATACTAAAAGAAAAAAAACCCAGACCTTGTTAGTTATTGGCTAGCTGATCGAGTCTCCTGGGGTCGCTTCCACTGTATCTGCACACCTCGTGTCTTGAGATCATTCGTGAATAGTCCATCGGCTTGCTCCTTTCACTGTAGTCGACACGTGACTATAATCTGAAACAAGAAACGACATAAAACTCCAACAAATGACTATGTGCCTTTAACAAACCCAAACCAAACTGTTTCACAAATATAACTTCCTCTGCTTCCATTAGGATTCAGATCAAATTCTATTTTGTGCAGCGCATGAGCTGTTGCGTTCGGGACTGCGGGAGAGTAATGTAGTATTGAGTATTTATTCATGCACTAGCAACACACGATCAAGCTCCAAAACTCGTTGGTATGGTTACTCAAACTCAGAATCAACTACAGATATCTTAAGATTAACTTTAAGATTTGGACAGAAAATGGAATTCAAGATTGGAAAAAAACGTTTAAAGGAAGCGACTGTATCAAGGCCATAAAATTGATTGAAACGGAACTGTTGTTGACAGCTTCACCTTAATCTGCTTGTTAGGACTGATCATCTGATCTTTTTTAGTCGGCACTTACGACATATTCAGGTTACTGGGGACGTATTCTGACGCGGAATCCCCACAGGGGACAGTAGGGGAGTTAGCAGTATACCCATGCCATAGTACGTTACTGAACAGTTTAGCTGTCCTCATGAAAAACGTTGACTTATGAAAGAAGTATAGTTTATATTGTGATACACATGTAAAAATCGGTAAGATTTATACCTTAAGTAAGCCACCATTTGATGTTCCGAGTAGGAATTTCTTTATTTCTAACAACTTCTGGGTTTTTTCGAAAAAAACCAATGGGATATGTGTCGCCTTGTTAACTGTAATAAACTGTCTAAAATATCTTCATTTTACAAATTATACAAATAAATGATGAAAGCCTGTTTATAGTTACAAACATTCACAAACTTGCTGAACATGGTCTGTGGCTATTGATGGACAACTAATGATATAGACATGTGTTATTATGCTGATCAGCACCTGTCACAATCCATCACAAACACACCGTCAAATACAGAACATTACGACGAGAAGGGATGTATTTACTGACTTAAGCAGTGTGTTCTGAAGTTTGGAACAACTTGGAATCATAAGGTTAACGCACGTAGACTTAGAAGAAATTTCCTTTAGAAACCAATCTCTTCAAGAACATAAAAGTCACATGGTCTATCACAAACACATATACATTTTGGTAAAGAAAATTCCAATAAAACACTTCTTGGCGACCTTTGATGACTTTGACGACAAACTCTAAACCCAGTTTACGTTTCAGAACACGCACATTTAAACATATTACGAGGGGTGTTTTAAAGTTCTAAGCCTAACTACGAAAGGTGTATACAAGGCTAAAATTGAATCAAATACACAACCAGGCAGCATTCTTCTGCGCCCATAATAGTGACAATGCAGGAACATTTGAGCCTCAGTCCCAAGTAAGTATATTGAACTGAAAGTTCATGAAAAAGGAAAACAAAATATCCACAATACTGTAAACAGGCATCTCCAAAACCAAGGAGTAAGTCTAAACAGCCATCCATGTGGACATATTGGGGATGGTGCTCGTTTGCCAGTGATGAGGGCAGCACTGTTCAAGACGGAAAAGTGATTCCCTGAAAGATGATTCTAGATGAGGAAGACATTCAACTGCCACCTACTAAGGAGAATGATGAGATATAATTAAGTAATGGATCTTAAAAGGGGACATATTGATCAAATGTACTCCCATCACATATGCAACATCCCGACAAAGACTATTACTGAACATATCAAACATTTCAACATGCCTGACAAAATGGAAGGAAAAAAACATGGTAAAGTAAAATTCTGGTTCTATTCGTGTATTGTATTTATTGAACCATTCTGCCCATTATTAAGAAAGTGGATAAAACGCGGTCAGACACGGGCATTTCTTTGTTATGAGGATGTTGTATAGTGAACAGATAAGTGGCAGGAACACCTTGTTATATTTTGGTTGCCAAGTTGTAATGAGGTAAGAACATAGTGAAATATCGTGCAAACTTTATAACATTTGATACATTCAAGACAAAAAGCTTAATATTCAGTGAAACATTAATAACAGGCATGTGGAACGTAACATTAACACAGAGAATTCATGGTTGTGCGAGTGAGTGCAAATATAACGTGGCATCAGAAGGAACAAGGTATAGTCTTTGGGATAGTGATGTCGCAAGTCACTGGTACAAGAGTGCAACTTTGCACGATAGATACCCAACACACCTGATTTGGCATCGATTTACATTTAACCCAGTATCGATTGTGCATGATGATATCAATAAGCAAACACAAACTATATTTTGCCCCTCATAAATGTTTGGTTGTCTTCGGGTTATGAGGCTAAGCAAGATTTCCTAAATATGTTTAATTAGTTTAACTATTACTGAATTATATTTTTTCCTTGAAACATGTCCCGGTTCTACATATGTCAAATTATACAAAGCAATAAGCTGCTGCGTTCTTGAGACATATTGTCAAATGCTGTGTTTGCTCATTGACTACAGTCAAAACAACCTCAATTTAGTAAGAATCAAACACGATTTTCAACTTCTGGACTCTAGTGTAGAGATGTAGGAATGCCGATCTATACCTAGGTAGAAAAACGGAGGATGGAAATGGAAGTTGTTATATGGTCATTCACACTCAGACAAAAACAATCAGACTAACAGACATGACAATATGATGTCCACCGCTTCTAGCATCATCACTCTATTCTGGTTAACGAAATACGAAGGTAGTTACATCTACGTAGATAACGAGCCTTGTATGTTATTACGTGGATGTGAATACAACGGGCATCATTAGTCTGGGGGTAAAACTGTCCACACATGTCCAGAATGTGTCCATCAAACTCCCATCTAATCCGAATACAGACACCAGTCTACAGAGGATGGATGTTGTGTGTTAAGGAAGCAAGTGACTGAATCTGCTACCATGTGGAGTGATCAAACTGTTAATAGTTTCAATGAAACATGACGTGTCTAGACGATAGGGTGTTTCCGATATTTCTGATGTGAAGTATATCACAGACATAATAATCCTGTAGGTGTTGGCCTGCCTGCCTGCCTGCAAGCAAGGCTGTATGTTATGGGAAATTCATCAAATCATTTGCAGATAACATGATAGCATAATAGGTTCCTAGTGTAGGTAATGCCTCTTTCTGCAGATACTGATCTAAAATCAACAGATTCGCAGAAACTTTGGAGGTCTTGTAGTTTGGTTTCCACCGAGACGAGCACGCGGAAGAAACTTTTGATCAAATGGACTGGAGATGACATACATTTGGAACTATACCATCACTGTTATTACAGTGTTTAAACGGAGGCGACATCATTGACGGAGAGATCCAGAAAGCTATCCCACAATAATCTGAAATACTTTTTTATGAACTGATGGTTGGATGATACTGATATAACGAATGTGTAGTGTTCGTCGCTTGGATGGATGCATGCCAAAATGTTTCCAAATTGACTTAATCGTGACTATATACATTTTGACCAATTGTCACATTTTGAATAAAATTGTCACCAAAGGACAACGAGGTGAAAAGAGACAATGCGACAACATACCAAATGGTCAAACTAGTATGTTTTGTTTAATTTGGACATGGTGTTGCCGATTTTGTAAAGGCACCGCAACAAAGTGTCATCGCTACAATGTCGTCTCAAGGAGTCCATACCAATCTGATGTAGTGTAGTGTGCAAGTTTAAAAAAACATATAAGACTAAGAAATATACTATATTGTTTTTCCAGGTTTATTGCAAAGAAGATTTCATTTAGATGAAACATTTTGACAAAAACACAAGACATTCACTTCTCACTTTCAAATCTTCGTGTTTGTTCAGTGGAAGCACGGGTCAAACCTATTTCTTTTCGGCACACTGTCTCCAGCAAACAGTACAGTTTTACACCTGAGGAAACAACCTTTTTCTGACTTGATTCTGTGAGAAGGTTTTCAAAAAGGAAGAAACCAGGTACTTAAACAAACCAAAATATCATATCTTAATCTGGACTAGGGCTTTGTGGGAGAGGCTTGATGTAGGCCTCATAGGACAAGACACATCGGGATGAGATATATTTCGTACGAGAGAGGAGACTTCACTGTAGGAACGACGGAAACAAATATCACCGCACACTTGACGGACGGCTATATTGCAGCACACTTTACGGGAGGAGATACCACTGGATTATACACGGATGCTCGTGGTAAATGTCTCCACACATGGGGATAGAGTGACATTTTCTTACATTCGGTGCAGCTGTACTATCTTTCAGATCGTCGGTTTAGAGACAAAAGAAAAATATAACGATAGCAAAACAAAAAGATATGTGTTTCAATCTGAACTGTGACATTGTGCTTGTTTTAAAGGTGAATACGAAAACTTTTGATAAATTGTAAAGGATATTCTAAAAGTCACCTTCCGTGATTAAAATTGAACAAATGTTTGTAAAATAGCAATATAAACATAAAAAAGGTACTCGTATGTCCGCCTATTACGGAAACACCCGACAGTTAATGAGCAGAGGAGGTATCACGTGACATGGCGTCATAATGTGCCTGTTGCTGATGGCTTCCTCTTTGATTTTACCTCACAACTTAACAGTGTCCATGGATTCTGAAGCAGTAAAATATGTTCCTGATGTCATTTCTGAAATGGATGTTTGACCACCGTATCAATACTGCTGACAAATTAATAAATTACTAGTCAGGACAATGTATGTTTCCCCATTGTTTGGTTATGGAAATAGTTATGGTACTCGGTCATCGCCTTAGAATGACATCTTGTCAGCCAGTCAGAATACGGAACAAGAATACACCACACACTACTGACAAATAGCGAGTCTGATGCCGACATGCGTAATTGGACAAAATGGAAAACAATGAAAGCAACAATTACTTCATGATTTACCGTTGTATTCGGCAATGTTTCGGTTAGACTGCAGTATTTAGGGTTCCAAACCGAAAAGAACGTTATAGCGAAACATTTTCAAGCTCATGTGAAATCTCTCTCTGATTTTGATAATGTATATCTCATTGGTACCAGTCGAACTGCCCCAACTACGAAATGCCCCAGCAAATTTGGTCACTCATTTTAATTTGGTCAAATTTATTTAAAATGATTAAATATAAGTCGTAAATACATAGTTTTTGTCAACTTTGATATTATGTTCTTCATATAAAAGTTGTTAGGAAGTAATATTTCTGATAAATGTTTCATTAGTAAACTCATAACTATGTATATACTTTTATATGACGAACATAATATCAAAGCTGACAAAACTATGCATTTTTTGGCCTATATTTAATCATTTTAAATAGATTGGGGCATTTTGACTACCCCTCTGGGGCAATTTGACCAAAACTCCGGGGCAATTTGACCAAATTTGCTGGAGCAATTAGTGGCGGGGACAATTCGGCTGGCAATCGGACTTAAATTTATGTTAAAAATACCACTGACAGAAAATTATAACAGGGAACGACAGAAACAACACGATTTGTATTACTGTAGCGCTTGTTATTTGGCAATATGGCGGACGCTTGTCACATATGACGTCACGAGCGGAAAGGTCACTTGAGTTCCAGCGGAATATGCAAAATGACCGAAGCTCAGATAACAGAAACTGTTTTCGCGATAAAAACAATCATAAACCATTTTGTTTGGAAATATGAACTGAGGTACATGTTTCTGATAACTTTATCTTTCATCCAGCAAATTATTGCAATTGTCTAGTATTCTCCTTTAATATGCTGTGTCATTCTTTGTAAACATATATCTGAGTCAGTGCTCATTTTTCAAATTCTGTAAATGAAAATATAATTGTTAATTCTGGTTCTCAGAGCACACAGTACCTGAGGGCCAATTTTGCTTGTAGTGATGATTGTGGTGGACTGGAAACCCCATCAGATTGGCCATTCTCCTCTTCCATGAGATGAGTATCATAAGAGTTTAACTATGTTACAGATTACACAGATAAATGGAATTGCCCCAGTTTACAGAAAATAACAGCAATGGCATTTTAGATTGATCTTCAAACAGGACGATTGTGGGTTGTTTATTCCGAATGCCACCCTGCATATGTGATGCTTTGCTTTACGATCGCTTTCAGTAAAACCATTGTTTATGTCAAGATCCTGTTGGTAATGAAACGACCCCGTACACTTTGTTTGAAGCAAATCACGTTCACAGTACAAGCAGAACATGTAAAACTGCTTCTATGGCCACACATATTAGGCTGTTTCGTGGTCTTTCAAAACATCGCCTAACGGTTACATCCCTGAACATGAATGTAACATTAGAAGCGCGTATGGTTGAGACTGATGTAGAGACATTGGCGAGATGAGCTTGTCAAGAGTGCACCAAGAGCCTTGGGGTATTTAGTCCCAAAAACATGACATTCAGGTTCCTGGTAAAATGCCTTGACATAGGGACGAAATCCTCCATTGGGAGTATGGCAAAACAAACGCTATGGCTTTCGATGTCACGATACTGTGACTTCTTGTGTTCTTTATCGACACTTCACTGCCGATGAGCAATGTCAAAACTGTGTATTGATCTTCACCTTAATTATAGCACAAAGACTACAGCCCTACAAACGCTTAACTACTCTACGTTTTATACAATATCTGGTGTGAATTGAGATGATAAGCTAATTTTTATTAATTGTTCATCAACAATGTACAGTCAGTGATGTTTCAAGCTTTTGATTCCTTGAATAACAAGAAATAGAAAAATTCATTAAAAACACAGATGATCATTTTTGGAACATTCTAAGACTGTAACATTTACCACCTCCTGTTCTGTGAAACATGGGATAATGGGATAAGACAATGGGTAAATGTGTATGACTTTAAATGACAGTTTCCTGCCTTTGTTTGCAGGATAGCAGAAAGGCCATACACACTCTTTTTATGTAAATTCAAATCCTTAATGAATGAATATGGAATAGAGGTTGACTTTTTAAACATACATCGTACCACACTGAAAGTGACAGACAGATCAGTTTCCATGGTTTAATCCATTTCAGCTTTAATTTCCATCTAAACCTAAAGATCAACGGTTAGTTCCCCCTTTCCCTGAAAACAACATGACGTCACACATTGCTCAGCGATTCCCACAGTCCGAGAGACCAGGCACCGATTTCTCGAAACAAACTTAAGTCTGAGTTTTGAATTAAGTTCGAGTTTTTACTCAAATAGAGAAAATGCATTTAGCAGAATGAACTGAAATTGATTTTAAACTCAAACATACTAGACAATTTGAGTTTGGTGGATGGATTACTTAAGTTGTTTGGGCTTTTTTATTTTAAAAATGCAGTTGAGTTAAAAATTCAGCTGTTTCAAATTGTCAAACTCAGTTTGAAATTTAAGTAAAAACTTAAGTTTGTTTCGAGAAATCGGGGCCTGGTCTAATAGAAAGAGAGGTGAGTGAAATAGCCCGTGAATGAGATCGGTCTTTGAACCAAATGAATACTTATCTTAATTGTACGGCTAAATTGGCAATGGTTCTTTAAATCTGTGGTCAAGGCCAAGTGACATGGGAGCGTTTTATATTGTTCTTGAATTAAGGCACAGAAGAGTGGGTTCTGAGGAAGAACGGACATGAAGTCATTGCACAGGCCCGTATTGCAAATGATATATGACATAAAGTGAATATGAACCTGAAAGAAATTTAAGTATTTAAACAAACATGTTGTCATTATAGTTAGAACATTCACATGCAAAGTTTTCCCTTTTTGATCGAAAGAGGGGAAAAAGAATCCTTTCGGTGAAAGAACTAAGGATCTATGTAAAGGATAAAACACGACTCCGAGGTCTTGGTCGGGATTGTAAAACCTGAGAGCAGCAGGGGCGAGCTTGTAAAACCGAGGGCGAAGCTTCGCCCTCGGTTTTACAAGCTCCGTCCCTGCTTCGCCCTCGGTTTTACAATCTCCGTCGCTGCTTCGCCCTCGGTTTTACAAGCTCCGCCCCTGCTGCTCTCAAGTTTTACAGTCCCGACCAAGACCGAGGGGGAGTGTTTTATCCGACTTATGAACCGTAAACACATATGAAATATCCATAGCTTGGAGACAAAAGCTATTTGAAATCGTAATATAATGTTTATATCGAGAAGGCGGTTTTCCCGACTCCTAGGGTTTACATTTGCTACCAAAACCGAGGAGAAGTGTGTTCTCTGACTTCTGAACCGTCATGAATGTAAAACACAAATATGTATTACATGTATTTTCAATTTGTGCAAATGTTTTGTGTACATATACTGAGCAGAACAACATTGATGGAACAGCCCGCAAATGATGTAACAGCCGGTGTCAACTGGGATGCGACTGGCAGCCAACACCTTGTCTTGTACGCGCTACCCGAACGCCACCCGATAATGTTAACAGTTTGCACGTGGAGCGGGCATGGTCACGTGGTATAAGAGCACACGTGAGATCAGACACACTCTCGCTGGTACTAAGTGTACGCTCACGATGTGTGACAAAGAGGACGACGAAATCTTGGTAACCCAAAATACACTTATCGAGCAGCAGAATGACAAGTTTTCTTCTGACGAGGATAGCAACTTGGATTTGTTGGATGATTTCAAATTACGTTTTGGGGACCCACTATCTTCCCGCGATCTCGACGAAAAGCTGACACTGTGCATTCCAAAAACTACAAAATATAAAAACACAGTTGGGCAATGGAAGTCTTTCAGAGGCAAGAAGAGAGACGTCATGATCAGCGGCCCGTTTCTGAAAATCTTGGGTTCTCGAGTGCGTGTTTGCGAGAGAATTTGCTTAATATGGACGCCAAGAAGGCTCTCAAGTACTTCGTGTTCGAAGCAAGCAAGAAAGATGGCGACTTCTACCCGACAACAACGCTCTACGGTTTGTTCGCTTCATTAGCATCTGCTTTGAAATCGAATGGGTCATCACTCGATATCTTCAATGACGCTGCGTTTCAAGACAGTCGTAAAACATTGGATGCTTCTATGAGGGAGCGATCGGCAGCAGGAACGGGACCTTCGACTAGAAAACATACAGAAGTAATAATGGTTGTGGGAGAAGGGCATGCTGGGAGATGACAACCCCGAGAAATTTTTGGATACCGTACTGTACTTAACGGGTAAGTTAAAAAAAAAATTCTGTCAGTCAGATAAGTAATCTTTTTAGGTCGGCGATATTTCATAACCCGTTAACGTTATCATACCATATGCATATATTTGTTTTCGTGGTTCTTCACGGTTTTGATAAAACGTGCCTTTTTTAACGTTAAAATTTTAGAATATGCAATTTTATGAAATACAATAGTTCATGGGTTGTATTTTATCCTTAGGCTTGCATTTTGCCCAGAAGGCAGCTGCGTCGGGTATTGTATGTGCGAAAACAGTGAAAACTGACGTCAAACAAACAGCTTCCGAAAGCAAGACTCCTGAACGTCTCGGATCGACAACTCAACTCCTGGAACCAATGTAAACGTGGAAGAGAAAAGGGGGAACATTTCTCTCATTATTAATTTCAACTGAGTCGATCATGTAGTTAATTGAATAAAGCTATGTTGAAGTACCTGTAGTTTTGTTTTTACCTTTGTGTGATCATTTTTAAAGTGCATCTGTTTCAAAAGCCATATCGGTATAAATAATGGTCATTTCAAAACCTAGGTCGAAATTTACGTCCACATGAATACGTGCAAACACCTAGTTGCGGGTACAGCAATGTGCAGTGAACTTGGACAAAGTACTGTGACTATGTGTGTCCCAGTCCACCCAACTGTGAGAGGGTACCTCGTTAGGATGAGAAAGCCACAATAACTTGATCCTTCTAGTGGCTGCAAGAGTTGTATACTCCACAGGGAGTTGAGATAGAAAATAAGATGTGTCGTTGAGATTGGCATCCAATGATCGAGGGAAAAAAATACCAGCGCCTTGAGCATGCACTAGTTGCGTGGATATGTGCGCTATATAAATATCCTATAATAATAATAATAATAAAAAAATAATAATTTAAACTGATATGAGGTTACGAAACGTGTACTTCAAAACCTCGGTTTAGAAATGATCAGTGCAAAGTCACAGCAGAGGTCTACGTGATTCTGGAAGGAACCTACTTTACTACAGACAAAATCGTGTCATGGTCCAGATCTATTACTTGACTTTAATGGAAAACTTTAGAAACACGGGAGTTCCTTAAATACACACACAGGTTTGTAGGATGATCAGCATCTGTGACTAACAGGATCGGGTGGTCAGGCACGTCATTGTATGTTAATTGCGCAGATCACTGGATTGTCTGGTCCAGACTCAAATCTTTACAAATAGCCACCGTATAGTTTAGATATTGCTGAGTTAAACAAGAACAATTCAGTGAATCAACTATATTTGAACCAAGTACATAACCAGGCAGCATTATGGAAAACAGACTGTCCACACGGCTGTAAAGAGGTACCCCAACTCCAAACACTCGAAGGGAATCTACACTCAGGAAGACCTTAAGCTGCCACCAACGGATGTGAATGTTGACATGGTAAGATGGGTGAGTTATATTGATATATTTTAATCACAGATCGACCATTTTGTTGCTTTGCAATGAAATGAAATGATCTTTGTGGGGATCTTCAGCTTCAACGAACATGTGTTTGATGTTTACAGATGCAGGTGATGTCAGAAAACAGAATAGCAGATTGTGAAACAGGCTCATCTGACCATATTACAACTACATTAACGGAATAACCTGCACATGTATCTGCATG